GCTTTCTCCAAATCGTTTTTGACAGCTCTTGTTTTTCAGAGTTGTGTGGCGCGATTGCAAAACTTGGCACCTCTACTGTGCAGGAAGCCCTCGATTCTCGAAACGCGTGGCAAGCGCTGAAAGCTGCTGCGTCACACGTTTTCGACGGATCTCCTCGGAAGAGCTCAACAACCACACTGCTGCACAAGCGCATCGTGAGCGTGGTGCCTCCATCTCCAACCCCAAGCAGAAAATGGTCTGAGCGCCTCGTTATGCCTTTGCCGACGAGAATGAAGAACCTCTGTCGCAGATCTCTAAAAGAGGTTGGTGCAAATCGCCGCGCGGATGGCTTTTTTCCCGAATGCACGGCGAAGGGTTCTTCCGCTGGATTCATGGGAGTCATTGCAAAGAGTCATCATCATCAGAGTCATTGCACAGAGTCATCATCATCATGAGAGTCATTGCGCAGAGTCATAGCAGAGAGTCACTTGCGAGGAGCAATGCTCGTGAGAGTCACTGGCGAGGAGCAATGCTCATGAGAGTTCTCACTCATGACGACTTTAAAATTCCTTTCTTCTCTTCTTAGGGCGGCGGGGTAGGGCCGACAGCACTCTAGGAAAATCAGCCCTCTGCGGAGATTCGTGTGGTCGAGGTCAAGAAACTGAGGACTTTTTACGATTTCTCCGGTGCGCGAGCGACCCTCTGCAGAGATTCGTGTGGTCGAGGTGACTTTTTACGACTTCTGATCTGTGCGAGCGACCCTCTGCGGAGATTCGTGTGGTCGAGGTCAAAAACATGTTTTTTTTTGATCTGCGCGAGCGACCCTTTGCGGAGATTCGTGTGGTCGAGGTCAAAAAGAGGGTTTTGTGCGATTTTGACATTCCAGGATGAATCCTCTGCGGGGATCGGCGTGGTCGATGTGCAAAAACTGCAGGTTTTTTGATTCTGAATATGCTCGCGCGACCCTCCGCGGATCGTGCGTGTCGAAGCGCTCTCGCTGTGGCGCCGTGCGAATTTGTTGCTTGCGAAGTGGTGTTTGGAAGTTGTCGCGTGGTTTGCGCGGCTTCTCTCGGAGTCGCGCGGTCGCGGGGTCGATCCCGGCCTGGTCCGCGGCAGCTTTTCTAGACAGAAGTCGCAACTTTTAAGTGCAAACGTAGTACGCGGATGCAGCTCCGGCTGGAAAATCGCAACTTTTAAGTACAACTGTAGTACGCGGAGTACAGTCCTGCAGCTCCGATGCGAAGTACTTCCCGAAAGCTCCGGCAGCACTTGCGCAGAGCAACTTGCACAGAGCGCTGCCGCTTGCGCAGAGCAACCTGCGCAAAGCAAATTGCACAGAGCACTTGCACATAGCAGCTAGCGCAGGGCAACGTGGGCAGACCAAAAGTCAGGTGTTCCGTTGGGAGAGTTATTACCATGAGAGTCATTGCACAGAGTCATCATGACAGCCATTGCATAGGAGGGTCATCGCACAAGAGTCATTGAACGGAGTCATCACGAGAGTGACCGCACAGAGTCATCATGAGAGTCATTGCCCAGAATCATCATGAGAGTCCTTGCACAGAATCATCATGAGAGTCATTGCACAGAGTCATCATGAGAGTCATTGCACAGAAGCATCATGAGAGTCATTGCACAGAGTCATCACAGCCATTGCACAGAGTCATCACACCCCAGTCATTGCACAGAGTCATCATGACAGCCATTGCATAGAGTCATCACACACGAGTCATTCAACGGAGTCATCGCGAGAATTGTTGCACAGAGTCATCATGAGAGTCTTTGCGCCGAATCATCATCAGGGTCATTGCGCGGAGTCATCATGAGAGTCATTGCACAGAGTCATCATGACGGCCATTGCATAGAGTCATCACACAAGAGTAATTGCACAGAGTCATCATGACAGCCATTGCATAAACTCATCGCACAAGAGTCGTTGAACGGAGTCATCGCGAGAGCCATTGCACAGAGTCATCGTGAGAGTCATTGCACAGAGTCATCACAGCCATTGCACAGAGTCATCACACCCCAGTCATTGCACAGAGTCATCATGAGAGTCACTTGCGTTGTAGTCACTGTTTAGCTCGAGGGCGGTATATGTGTCATCTTTGACGTGCTTGGCAAACTCGTGTGACGTGGGGGGGCCAGGAACAAGGTTAGTTGCTGTGTGTTGCTCGTGACCACATCGAGCAACAAACTTGCGCGGGAATGATCGCGGGCTGTGATGCTTTCGGGCCAACCGTGGTCTAGTTTTTCAGTGACGCCCCCGCATTCCTAACAACAACTCGGCGCATCATCTGTCAGCGCTTTCAGGACAAACTTGTCAAGGCCCCTCTCAGAAACGTCATCAGGATCACAACCCCCTTGCAGCTATGCCAATCATCCTGGATGCCGGGGTGAGGTGCTCCAACCTTGCTGGTCAGAACACCTCGCTGGCCGACAGCGCCGTTTTTCAGGTCTTTGTCCGCCTGCCACGTGTGATCGCACAATTGGCCTGACGCCTGAACACAAGTTCAGCATCCACGTCAAAGCTAGCGAAGAAGTTTCTTCCACCTGGCTCCCACTCAGCCAGAGCCCCAATTGTGGCTGATGGGGCCTATTCTGGCTTTTCCTATTGGGGGGCTTACTTGATGGGCGGCCTTTTGCTATGTAGTTGGCGAACTTAAGCGACTTGCTAAGCCACCTGCAAGTTGCCTAACTTGAGTTGGTAAGTCCGCTAAGCCTGTTCTAAGTAGCTAGCTAAGTCCTCTAACTCGCCAAGTGGACTTAGCCAGGTTGTAAGCCCGCTAAGTCAGACTTAGCGGACTTACTAACTCAAGTTAGGCAACTTAGGAAACCGCCTAAGTTCGCCAATTACATAGCAAGTAGGCCGCCCATCCAAGTAGTGTATTTTCCGGGGCTACGGCTGCCCTTTTTTTACCTCACCACGCATCTCCCGGTTGCCTTCTGATCCAAATCCATCTGGACTACGTAGCAAGGAGGCTCATGGCAGTTACAGCGCCAATCGGCTTATTCTATTCGTTGCCGGCCCACCTGCGCCGCTGCGAGGAAATTCCTCATGGGGACGACGAAGCCTATGACTCAGGAAGGTTCGTCATTGCTCAGCGCACCTCGCACGAGAAATCGTTCTTGGTGCAAAGTGAGCGCGAGTGGTTGCAGGGGACATGAACCACAGCACTTTTTGGAAGCAGCAGCCCTGACGCGACGAGCCGTCATCCAGGACAGGTTTCAGGCGCACTCATCGCTCCAAGTGGACCTTCAGATCCCTGCTTCTCCTCGGAGGCGCTTCGTTTTGTTGCGAAAAGTTCCGAGAACTCCTTAGTTGGCTACTGCGCCAGCTTCCAGGACGGTCGTCTACAGCAAACGACGAGCCAGCAAAACCTCTCCTCCCATGACCGGGCCCCTTCGCGAGGCCTTCCCCGAGGCAATCGCAGTTGTCTGTCGACTGCAAATATGGAAAGCAAGTCGCGAAGCCGCCGGCTTCAGCAAAAGTTTCCCGTCTTTGCGGACCTGTCGTGCGGCTCAACTTCATGGCTCTCCAATGTCCAGTGCGCTTGTGGGGCTGGACGCGCCAACCATCGACCTCACCTACCACGACTTCGGCACCAACTACCGGCGCTTCGTTCGAAGCCTGGCAATTTGGCCAGCGTGCTCAGACCATCGACGTGCGGTTGAACGAGATCAAGGCTCTATCTTCGCCTACTTCAAGCCAGCGCCCCTTGACACCCTCACTTTGGGAGTTGAACCTTCCACCAATCTATCTGGTTCACGTCCATAAGGGAATCAGTTGGCCTTTTGATTTGGGCAGCGATTTTGCTCTATGTCAGCCAGACCATTACCAGACTGACTTCGTCACCGAGGTCAGCGACATTTACTCAGTCTGTGTTCGCCCATGGCACGACTTTCTGCGGGCATTCCTACACACCTTTGACTACCGATCGCTGGACAGTTGCGCTTCGTAAATACCGACCACAAGCAGCGCAGGGGCCGGATGGTTTTCCCATTGGTGACCTTCTGCATATTCACTCGCACCTCAAAGCCGACTTGTGAGACTGGTTCAACGCTCTGAGCCACTTGGGCTGCCACAGGGCCAAAGAAGCCCTTTTTTCCTGTTGCCATCTTGCAGTGTCACGCCAGTCTACGCGGGTACTCCATCGACTTGCAGAAGCGCTTCAGCAACATGGGTTGCGCGCCAGCTTGGTTGCGGAGCACCTTGGCATTGGTAACCGCATCCTGCGACCATGGAAAGCATTCTTCCAGCACAACCAACGCCGCTTCCTCACCAGTTTGCTCCAGGAGCGGGAGACTATCCGTTCGCGCTTGGCCAAACTCGTTCGTGCCCTTCGGATCCAACATGGGGGGGCCAACCCTTGGCTAGGAATAGCATCGTCGCTCCCACTTCTTCTGGCCCAGAATTCTATCAGGCCACGGTTGTTCTGCGCGATCTCAGGCGGATGTGCTACAAGCAGCTTGGGCGTCTTGCGGAGTGGCAATTGTTTATGCGCCGGTTTGATGGCCGGTACTTCCCCGGCCCATGTTCAAAACTGCTGCAGTACTTGATCCACTGCGGTGGAAGGCGCTTCAACCCCCGCTCCTCACAGACCACGACAACCTTGTCTTTGACGTGCTGGCTGTCAGCAATAGCGAACTTGAGGCCCGCCTTGAGGATGCGTGGCGCCAACACGCGCCTCTCGCACTCCACGACTTCTGCCCAGCGCGCCAAGTTCGATCTTTCTTCCAATGGCTTGTGCGCACAACGCAGCACAGTCAACGACTTCAAGCACCAGATAGTTGACTGCGTCCTCGCTGCAGAAGCCAGACGGCCGCATCAAGGGGTATGCGAACCAATGGAAGGATCTGCCGCCACGTGTTCGAAATCATTTGCTTGTGCCCAGGAACCCTGTGAGCGGCGCATCAAGCAAAGCCTCAACAAGCTCAGCGACTCCGCAGACGATTTTTCACAATACCGATAATGCCTTCAAGGAGGGTCGTGCTTTCAACATCTCAAGAAGCAGCTCTCTTTGGCTGCTTGGGCCGCCGTGCGCTCCGGAAAGCGTGTCACCCTTGCGGCTGGGCCCCTCAATGGTATCACACAATCAATCAGTGCAGGAGCAACGTCTTGTCTTGCAGCCATTTTGTGAGGAGCACGCCATGACGTTCTGTTTTAAATATGCACGGACTCGCGATATGTTGCCGAGACTCTTGCAGGAATCGACGACATTGACGCCATCCACGCCGACAACCATGACATTTAGGCTGTACTCACCGCTTGAAGAATGGCTTGCAGTTGGAAGCAGCGCAGCAGACAAAGCTGCAATTATTGCGAACACAAAGAACAGCAGGTCTGCTTCTTTCCTTGACGACTTGACTGCGGCGCACAGATATTTTCGGCACTGGCGCAATGTCTGCGACTCGTTGGAAGCTATTTACACAAGTTTCCTTGCAAGCACTTGAGCCGATGGGACTGGGCCCCACGCAATCGCACTTGAGCAGACGAGCTGCCGTTACATTGGCGCCGAACTTTGGTTGAGAGTCTGGCGTGGTATCCCCCAGACTTCTTGCAAAGTATTGGTGGCTGGTTCCTTGCCCTTGGTCGCCAGCGCGATGAACTCGAATTAGCTATTTATGCCAAGTCAAGCATTGTTTTCCTGCGCGTGCGTTTGTCAGGCCAACCGTTGCTGTGATCTTTCACTATGTCAAGGCCTTCGTTGGCATGCTGGTTGGTTGGGGATCGCCTGGTTTGTGGGATCAACCTTCTTTTGAGTCCACCCTCCTCAAAAAGGGCACTTGCGTCGGCTGCAGCCAAGCCAGCCTTGAAGACATGTGACAACGGCTGTCTTCGTTTTCACCAGCTTGCTGTTAGGGTCGCCGCTGACCTTGCAAGTGCACTGCGACGCTAGCGCAATTCTGAGTACTGTAATCAGTGGGGGTACTCGATGATGCTTCCAGGCTTGTTCGAGCTCGTGTTCGGCAAGCTTACGCTCTCCGCGAGCCTTGCGTTGCGCTGCGTTGCGCGCCCTACGCTGCGCAATCTAGTCTTCACGAGTCTTCAGGCGGTAACGCGAGTCACTGGCCAGCACCGGCTCCGGAATTGCCCGATCAGGCCTTGAGCTCCCCGATAAACCCGACGCGTATAGTTCTCGTCGGAAGAAAGCCGAGGCGCACAGTTGCAGACTTGCCATCGAGCCGTCAAATAAATTCACGGACCAGAGTGGCTACAACGATTGTACAATCGCATGTTCGTGGTACACCAAGTTGTATTTGAGCTTCAATATGGTCGGTAGGGGAGGGGTGAAGAATCTAGGCTCTACTCTAGGTATTCATGGACATCGTTGGCGTCATTCACAGTTTCGTAACCTAGAGGTGCGTTTGATCGCATTTTAGGTGGTCAAAGGCCGAACAAGCATTTGGACGTGAAAAACGATTTGGCCGTGAAAACCCGACAAGGGCCACATGGCCGTGAAAAAGCGTGCAAAAGCCGTGCAAAAACGCCAAGTGGCCGTGAAAAAACATGAAAAACGTGAAAACACAGCGCTGCAACCATTTGGCCGTGAAAACGGGCAATGTCAAGGACACATTTTTTTCAAGGTCGCGAGTGGTATGACCTCCTAAAATGTGATCGAACACGCCTCCAGGAACTTTGCTTCCCTGCCCCAGGTTCAGTCTGCAAGCCCTTCGTGGCAGCCCTAAGGTAAGCTGCCACAAACAAGTCTTCAAGGTCATGCCTCAGAGCAGTCTGCCTGCCAGCGCGCGGCGTGTGGTTTGGGGTGTGCGTCGTTTGCTTGAAGCTTCCGGAACGGTCTAAAGACTAAGACCCAATCACGACGAAAAGCTCTTGCTGTCGCGCCATGCGAATTCGTTTTGCTCTCGGCGAACCCTCTGCGGAGATCCTGCGCGTCGAAGCGTTCGGCGCCTTCCGAGTTTGTCTTGAGCTCGGCAAACCCTCTGCGGAGATCTGTGGCGCCGTGCGAATGCGCGTTGCTCTCGGCGAGCCCTCTGCGGAGATCTTGCGTGTCGAAGCGGTCTCGCTGTGGCGCCATTCAATTTTTGTTTTTTCTTTGCTTGCGAATCGTTGCTTGGAACTTGTCTGTTGGTTCGCGCATCTGCTTTCACGATCGCGCGTTGTCTCGGGTTCCACCTGCCTGGTCCGGGCCAGCTCCGGCTTGAAAATCACAACTTTTAATTGGGCAAGTTCACGAAGCCGTTCAAGAGATACTCCATGAGCCAAACCTTTGAACCCCAAATGTCATTTGGGCCCAGCAAACCACTGTGGAGTAGTTGAGTTTGCTCTTTGTACCAACTTGGAGGTTTAGGGTTTGGGGGTCGGTCAAGCTTCAGGTTAATTGACTTAGAATTTGGGACTTGTGGTCTATGTGGGTTAGAGTTGTGGCTTTTGAGACCAACAGCCAACCTGGCGCCTTTGAGAACCACCGCCATGCACGGATAGAGGTGGCATCTCCTTCCAAATCTCCAGATTTTAAGTTACTACTTGAAGGGCATCGGCAAAAGGCGCGGACAGATCTTAGTAACTCATACTCGCACTCTATTTCCTCACCTACTAGTTGGTGGAATTGAGAAGGCGAGTAGAGAGTGAGCATGCCCTTCCCTTCCCATTACCAGCTTGTGAGTTAGACCCTGCCTGCGGAATGGGTGCGGGAAGGAACGGATGATGAGGGACACGACCATCGAACTGTTTCTATTGTATTTGTTGACTTGGAAATCATATCCTTTCCATCATCATCACATTCATTTTCCTTTCCCTTCTTCTTCTCTCACTCACCACGTTTGGGCCAAGAGTCTCAGAGGCTAAAGGGTTAGGAAAAGAGATAGGACATAAAAGCTCAAAAACCCAGCGCTCACTTCACCCCATTCGTTTTCGTGTTCTGTCTTTGGTCTTCTCATGTGATTGTGTGAGATAAAGAGGGGAAGAGCAAAGAGAGTGAAAGAAGTATTTTGATGACACATGTTTTCCATATAAACAAACGAACCTTAACATGGGAAACGCTATCCTTCTTATCCATCTGCTCTGTCCCTTAACTCGTCCATCATGTCTTGTCTCTCACAACATTCTTAACGTCAAATCTTCAAAATTGAACATAGGGAACGAAGGACATGGCGTGAAGACCAACAAAGTATCTTTATGTCTTCGTGTTAATGTTGAACCAAGTATTTTTAGAGTTATTCAACGTATAAATTACACCAGGCTAACATGATAAATGGGAAGAACAGGTATGGTTCGTCTATCATTTTCATAGTTACATCTAATGTTACTATTGCGGCAGTTTTTTTAATACGCTCCTTATTTTGGAATTGTTTGTTGGTCCTGTCGCCTTCTCATCTTTATCTCTTGGTCGCTTCCGTCTACTCGTTAGTCTCTGAGTCTCGGTGGAAACGGCAAAGTCCGAAGCCAAGCTGTGGTTTGATGCCGTCTGTTTACACTATGTAGTTTCCCATATATATAACTTTCTTAGTCATTCTCTTTATTTCCGTGTCCTCAGAAAATACTCCATTGACTTTCCTGATCCCAAACCTGTAATATCTAGTTGCGGTCCCAAGATATGTCGTTTCACTGTTCCATGAAGTTTCTATGATTTTCATTCTTCCCTCTTTGCTAAATGGTCGCCACGAGCATTGCCAGGCCGCCAACATGATGCCAGAAGGATTCAGAGTCAGAAACGCAAATTTGGCCTACTAACTCCATTTCTTCGCGCTACTCATGAAAACAGAAAGCACAGGCAACATTTTTGGGCAAGTGAGCGTCTCTGAACACGTATGCTGCCGAAACAAGAGGAGCCCGGCCCGGCAACCCGAAAGCAAACCCGCCTGCGCCCGCCCCTGAGCTGGAAGTGCTGTCTAGTTAGCTTTTTCTCGCGGCTGTCAGCTACTGGGAACATTGCCCCAGCTCACGATCTTGGATAGCTCGCGCAAGGGATTATCCGTCATTCGCGCAAGTTCGTCACCAGCCTGTAGACGACTCCGCCCAAGGAATTCCTGGCTTTGGATTCAAGCGCGTTCCTCTCTCGGCAGCTTTTGACGCCGCCTCATAGCCACAGTGAGTTTCTTAAAGTTAAGCGGGACGTGGACCATGGGAGTGGATTCAAAATCGTGAGACTTCAGCTCGCCAGAGCTGCCTTAGGCTTGAATGACAGCACAACCTCGGAAAGGGAGTTGGGCGCATGTTTTCCTTGAGCTACGTTTTAATCCGCATTTACATCTCAAAAGGCTAGCCTTCTACTTCCCAGTCCTGTAATCCAAGTGAGAATTCTGGCGCTTGACCAGGATGCCAGCCACGTCCACACCAACCATCCGCCGAGCTCCTTGGCTGTAATCTGGTTGGACCTCTCACATGTCCGCTTGGGTGGGGCAACATGTGTTGTTTGTTCCAACAAGCAGCCAAAAACATTGATTGGCTTGCTGAAGAGGCAATGTGCGCCAAAAGGGTCAGCATTCAGTTTTGCACAGGTCTGATGCACAGGGTGCAGCGCTGGTCTGCCGTTTCTGCTTGGTGCGCTTTTTGGCACCCCCAAACCCTAGCCTTCGTTCCTGTTGGGGCGTGATTGTTTTGGACCTGCGCGGTTTCACTCGGTTGCGGGCGCAGTCTGAAGGTATGCCTGTGGCCTGGGCATGCCTGCGTGACCCAGAAAATCATAGCGGACATGCTTTGAACATAGCCGGGTTCAATGTTGGTGCAGGATGTCACATGGAACTGCGTCTTCGTATTGCTTGCAAATTTATGCGCCCGTCAGCGCGCACTTCCACCTACGGTTAGCACAATGCCCGAAATAAATCTAAACATTACCCCAGGAGTGAACAACAAGCTACCCCTAAATAAACATGGTGTTTTATTCTACCCACAGAATTTGTGGTGACAGAAAAACCGTGAAACAATTGATATTGCTGCTCCCGTGGTTTTGAATGAGTGGCGTTCTTCGGGTGGCAAAACTTGAAGAGTCCCCAATTCCTGGACCGCCCCCCTTGCGTAATTTTTTCAATCCCTCAAATTCACCCTTTGACTCCGCATTCCACACTCCACACTGGACACTCAATACACACACACTGCACACTCCGCGCTTGACCGGCAAGCCCAGTTGTTGAATATTAGTGAACGTCACAAAATCGCCGCCCGGAGCGCGGAGCTTCTAACCGCCGTGCAGAAGTCTTCGCCGGACCCTGCGTGAAGCTAAGCTGATTCGATGATTCCCACCGACCGACGCAAGGCTTCTATTCAACGAAGCTTTCTACATATTGTTCTCACCCACGCCGATCCCAGATCTTGAGCCACCTCGAATCATTAAGAACCTTCAACGGTCACCCCTTGACCCTGCGTGAAGCCCTCACACCAGGCTCTAAATAGGGGTAAGCTGATTTTCACCACCTCCATGTGCGCAAGCCTGCATGAAACTCATGCAAAATTCTTGGCCCCATGCTAATTTAGCGCAGGCCCAAAACTAAACTAGCATTGCACCCCCAAACAAAATAGGAGAAACATGCCTGATATTAATTTAGTATTTGCCGGATACTTATTTTTGAATTCCAAGACAAAAGCCCCAATGCTGATTTAGTATTGGCCCAATGCTGGATGAGTATTCCAGGTCAAGCATCCCGGTCACAAAACAAATCCCAATATACTAGCTTAGAATTGGCCCAGCACTGAGGCCTATTTTCTAATTCATCAAAGGTGGGCATTATATGCACATATGTAAGAACATGTATGACCAGAAGAACTGCGAATGGTGCGATGTGTGTTTCTGGTGGCTCTTTTTCAACTCGGCTTCTCTTTGATTTTCAGTAGGTCGGGCACATTGGCAGACGCGCGCGCGCACAGATGCGTCAGCGTAGGCTGTTGCAGGTGGCGGTTCTTCTTTTTCATAAGAACCCATGCCGCGTTGCCAAAAGCCTCGAACGAAAGGCTTGTGAAAGGGCGCGCCCTGCCAGCGGCGCGAGGTTTCCATGAATGTGTTGCTCAGGAAAGCCACATACTCAGGGCATGATGACATGAAGCAAGTGTACGGCTTCTTGCGAAGCAGAGTACTTACTGAGACAAGCAGCTTGACAACGTTGAGGGAGTTGAAGATCTGCTCGGGGCAAGGCGCAGGACAACTTCAGCACCCAGCGAAGCCCCTTTGAGGCCAGGCCGCCCAGAAAAGCGCTTACATCAACAAGGGAGGTCACCACAAGGATGCTCCCTTCAAACAAGTTGGTGTTTCAGGTTAACCTGCAAGTGCATTTTTGAGATGTCAAGAGGGGTGATCCTTGTGCCACTTCTCTTGGGCGAGACGATGCGCTCGGATAGAACGGGCTGCGTTATGTGGCTTGAGAACACCCAATTTGGACAGACCTCTCGGCCTGGGTTGGAAGCTCAAGCCTGGTATCTGTGCGCGCGCGTGTGTGTGCAGTGTGTTGCAAAAAGAACGCGCCTGCGTGCCTGCGTGTCTGTGACCGCGTGCCACTGATGGTGTCTGCCTCTTCGTGTGTTTGCGAGGCGCTTCGCACAAGTTGTTGTTGCGGCACTGTCTGTCCGCTTGCGCTCCGCGCCTTACCTGGTAACCAATGATGAAACTCACCGTATCTGCTCTCGGAATCTTGGATTATCCCAAGAATCATGCGGAGGAACCGTCTGGTGACTTGACTAAAGCGCCGGATGAGACCCCAATTGCGGCGCCGGCGGAGGAACCCATTCAGGGGGACGAGGGTGATAGTGACGAAAGGGACAAAGGCGGAGGTAGTCGTGAAGGTTGAGGTTGACGTTGAAGCGTGAAGAGAATGAAAGGAACGCTCAAACACAAGGCGGACACATTGGAGCACATGGTTACCCATAGGCTCGCCAACCCTCATTGCGATGCATGTGTCAGAGCGAAGACGCGGCGCTTCAAGACCAAGAAGGGGGCGTGTAAGCAGCAGCTCAAGACCTTGTGACGTTTGATTTTCTGACACCGGAGAGAGTAGGGCAGTTGGGAACCGAAACGGGCACCAATGTCTTCGTGGTACAAGATGGGTACTCTGGAATTAGGGTGGCATATCCTACATCGGACGGTTCCGCGGATTAGGAAGAATTCGGGTCGATATGCTGATTATGCACCTCAGTTTGTTAGTGCTTGTCAACAACTGGGGATCACATTCGACCACTTATTTCCCGGCAGACCCAGCAACAGTTCATTGGCTGAAAGGAACAACCTCTACAGGTTAGCACGTCTTTGCTGGCTGCTGGATTACAGAGCGGCATATGGATTGAACCATCGGGACAAAGGTGTGCTGGGCACTTGCGATTCGATGCACGTTATCACTTTCCCCGCAAATGTGCCCAACGCCCGGCACGAATATTCTCAAAAGAACACCTGCTGATAAGGCTTATTTAGAGTCTGTCACCACCCGCAGAAAATTCGTGTCGCCACGCTGTCATCCATTCGGAATGAGACAATTTTTCACCGGCGTCCCCTGTGTACCCCGCCATTGCATCATCGGCGCTGCCCACGCTTCACCCACTCAATCCCGCAGGGCCCGGCCGGTCCGCGCCTTAACCTTGGGCTCTCGTTGATACCAAGGGTCCCCCCATACCTGTCCAAACATAGGACAATTGTATGAAATACTCCATTGCGCCGCTTGTCCGAACACCTGTTTTGAGATTGTGGCAGTTATACAAAACGGGTCTTTGGGTGTCTGGAAATGCCGGAACATCACCCACCACTTGCCCATATGCCTGGCGCTGGCCGGACTCGGCGTCATGGGACGGCGTCAACGCTTCCAACGTTGCCACATCGTCCAGATCACCCTGATCAAAGATTAACCAACATACACGCATGCTTCAACCGAATAGGATCGTGAAAAGCCTTTGTATACATGGCGGCAGCCATCTCAGATGACACCTCGTAAGCCAGAGCATACGCTTCTCGTTTGAACATTTTGTGGAGCCAGGCAATACTGCTGCCATGGGTCCGGTGCAAATGCTGCATCGTTGGATTCCTGCCAGTCCTTGCAACAGCAATCGTGGACTGATTGTCATCACACAATATGACATTCAGGGTAACTCATGGTTGCGCTACAATTTCTGCCTTTGGAGTTGTGTGACTCACACAAGATTGTCTTTTGCTATTGCCCACTAGCGGAAAGCGAGTATGTTTGCCGTGCGCCCACTAGCGGAAAGCGAGTATGTTTGCCGTGCAAATAGACCTCCCGAAAGATGCGTCTGCATACATGGCCACCTGAACTTGATCTACTGGATCACCAACCCACCCGACCAGTTTCATCTTCTTGGACCAGTTGACGTAACACATCAAATGATGCAGTCGCTTGTCGTCCTCTTTGCTCCAATTGGTTACATGACGCGCCAAAGAGTTGATTGGGTAAAGCAAATCAATCCTTGCTAGACGTCCCGCATAAAGTAGTTGCACAAGCACGCTAGCTGCATGTGGTGCCAGTTCCCCTTGCACGAGTTTCTGTGCATCTAACTGGGCTGCCTCGCTTGGAATGAACGGGACACCGGGGCTAAAGTGTGTTTACACCACGTGCGCTCGACCTGTTTTCTGTCGGTGTACGGTCTTCTCGATGGATGATCCTTCGCATCCTCCGGAAGCGACGGAGTCTTGGCATCCTTCAACTTGACATGGTTCCCAATGATATCCCTGTACTTCTGAACAGACATCTCGAGAAATTGGCACACCACCAAGAGTTGCAGTCCCTTTGATCTGAGTACACCCCAAGTATAAACTGAGACCCGTTTCAGGCCCAATCTCAATCTTGGCGTGAAGGAGATCCCACCCCTTCTTCAGATTACATTTGGGACCCGCCATGTTGAATCATCCACATAGACTACCAAGTTGGGTTCCTTATGGACACACACAGATGGCCATTCCGCCCCCACGCGCTTGAATCCCAACACCGTGACGCCTTCTTCCCAAAACGTCCCTGCGTCAGGGTGACGCCTTACATGGTCTTCGGAATTTATTCCAGCTTCCATCCTACCCTTCCTTGTCATCTCCATCCACAAGGCGGCAACTTGAACCTCCCATCCTTCAACACTTCCTAGGAAGTCAGCCCAGCGTGACGCTTCGAACGTTGCAGGGCTATTGCCTAGATCATGAAAAATGGCGTCAGCCATGCCCGGATCCTTTACTTGATTGCCTAACAACACCACTCGGTGCTTGAATTTCCTTCGTGGATTGTCGGAAGGTAGTTGTTCGTTCTTTTCAATCATTATGCCACGGACTCTTGGCGAAATGAATAAGTTCTTGTAGACGACGGGCTTCTGTTCGCACATCATCGTATTCTCGAACACTCTTCATGTCAAACACGCACTGTTTATGTAGACCCGACCATTCTTTTCGGATAGCTTCGACAGCTTTAGGGTTCGAAAGCATTTCCTTCTTCCCTGCTGGCCTTAAAACCATCGCATTGTGAAATCGCGGAAACTTCTCTTTCAACTTCTCTCTGTGGACATAGGTGCACGGTACGCAACCCTTTTCGGAGTTCCATCCGCCCATCTATCAGGTTCCAGGTCCTCCGTTGTATCAACATCCATCATGCCAACGTAATCTTCCCACATCATCATCGTCCGAATATCTGGTGCATGAGGCTGCAGGAAAGTAGGGATTCTCTCGCCAGTAGAGCCAAACCGTTAGTCGCTTGTCACCTTCCGTCACGGCTCTGTTGATTTGCTCAAGGTCGTCCAACACATTCGTGTGAACCCGTTCGCATTGTTCAGATTCTGTCAAACTCCGGAAGGCTCAAGAATACTTTCGTGTCATTGACTTTGGCCTTCTGCGATAGTTTTCACCATGCCTTCGGGCCATCGCATTCTCATTCTCGACAGATTTGCGCATCCAGCCTCCCGTGCCCCATTTGTTATCGATGATGCGGAATCAAATTTCATCACGGGCGCTTCTATCTTGAGCGCCGTCAACCTTCTGAATCGTACCCTTTCCATCTTTGGACTTCTTGGTTTGGTCTTTCTTCTTATCCGCCTTCTTCTCGGCCTTGATGATGCGTCTCTCCAGTCCTTCTTTGATGTTCTTCTCGAATTCGGCAGCGACGTATTCCCACATCATTCTGTTGACGTGAGACATCTTCTACCATTCTTCCGGGGACACAATTGAAAATCTGGAGGTCTTGCAGGCCCTCCGCCCGTCTACCCCAACTTTATCGGGAGTTTCCTTGACATACAACTTCAACCTTCTCCCTCTGTCATATATGACACCATCGCCAGCTTTGCCCTTTCTGACGTGTTCACTTTCTTCTGGGAGTTTACGATGTTCCGCATCCGCGAATCTGTAGGGATCGATGGAAACTTCATCACCGCCTTTGATCATCGGGCACTGGGATCTCCCCTTCTGCCCCTTTGTGCAATGGCTGCTTGCGTGGAGGTTTCTTGTCCGGTTTGACGGTTGGTTCGGTACTATTCACATCTCCTTCGACGGCCGCATCAACATCACCAACCGTGTCATCAATACCAAACCTTTCCTTCACTTCTTTTAAACGATCCTTGGCTCCACCTCCTCCACCATGTGGGCCATCCCCACCCGGGGTCGTCATCACCTCCAGCTCCGTCGTCTTCGTCGCCCCTCCTTTTCCCAAGAAGCCTAGATCAACGCTTCACGATCCCCATTCGCCCCTTCAAAGGTGGTCTTTAGCGGAAGGCGAGTGGATGTACCATCACAACCTTGTCCACTATGTGAGGCTTCCGTAAGCTCTTTGGAACAGATCTGCATCCCATGGTCAATTCGGAACTTGTCAAGCTCCCATACTAGCATCTTGCCGCCCCATCTCATTCCGCTCTCGAGCTCATAGCCCGCGAATACGCCTCTCACCGATCTGGGCGCAAACTTGTGAAAGTCATGTGGAAGACGGTTTGAAATGGACATAGGCTCCTAGCGGTATACTTTTACCACCGGAATGACCACCACGCGTATTGCACCAAGCGCTCTCACGGTCGACGATCTCCACTTTCAGCAAATGACATGTCGATGGTAGAGAGTATGATCCAATGAACAGTGTAAAAGGAGCGCCGGCGTGTCGTGTGATTGCACCAACCAAGTCGTATCCTGCCACACTTATCAGCCTCTGCACTCGTGCGTCAGTACTGAAGTACACAGTGTGGGGGGGTGTGAATAGTATGCCTTGCATAGGTGCGTTTGC